GACCTGAAAGCATTCCAGGTTTGAGGCGAGACATTTTAATAAATGAAATCAATCGAGAACTTGTTTTGATTAGTCTCATGAGCTTGACATTGACTTTATGTATGAACCATGAGTCGCACTGTGGAAGTCAAGTCTTTCTTTTTCTTGATTTACACATCGAACCATGGAACGGTCTGACTTTGGGACCGAGGAAACTTCTTGTGCGATTGGGCTCGCTGGTCAGCACGCATCTAACAATGACGTTGGCCTACCATGAGTAAAAATCATCCATCCTACTGCAACGTACAGCTTTTGAACTTGCAAAGTGAACTTCCTTCTGATCCACAATGTCGTCTGGGTGGAGTCTCAGCTACATCATCAGGCATCCAAGACTCCACCCACATCATAATAACACATCAGATATCTCTTGGGTGCCTGAGTATGAAGAACTCTATAATTGATGCCAGCAGAGGATGGAGCTTACACCGTTGGAGTGATGAGAACTTATTCAGGAGTAGATGTCATGACAGGTGACCTGTGTCATTGCTCAACTGATCCAACATAAAAAAAAGTAGAGAAAAATGGGCCGCATGATATAGAAAAAACAATGTAAAAACTATACAACATAAAACAAGGCGAGTCCAAAAAAGGGCAAGGAAAGCGCTGCCCAGGGAAAAGGGGAATGAGAATTTACTATAAAATCATCCTCCTCCTCCTAAATCTGTATCTAGTAGCTGCTTCAATATCTCTTGCAAACAAATCTTAACATCGAATAAAAACTGGGCTCTCCAACATGCCATACCAATGTGTTGTCTAAAAAACTAAATACAAAATGATATTGAAAAATGTGATCCGTGTTGACTCTCAAAGAATTCTCTTGCTTAGTATTTAACAAAACTATCTATATTATGTCTCAAAAAGTCATACGTCTCAATTCCGGAATAAATAAAAACATGTCACTATTACAATCATCTATACTTGCAAACATGATTGTTACCACTAAGAGAGTGGCCAAATAGACATGGGTTATAAATGATTAAGAAGAGAATGTTTTGTGGCATTGAAGATGCAAAGTATAATTTTCTAATTTTTTATGCAAGATGGAATTTATGAAAAACACTTGTGGAACAAGGATGCAACCAATCTAAACAAAGGAGAAAATAGATGACAAGAAAGAAAAAAATTTATGTTTCAGAAGGTCATGTCTTGAATTAAAAAGAAAAAAAAAGAAATTTTTTTTTTTGGTTAACCTTAAAGGGAAATTATTATGTTTGAAAATCTCTATATGTAATTCTTGTTTAGAGATGATTCAAACAAAACAACCCCATGCTTGTTAAATGCATCAAGATTGATGCATTTAACAAGTATATATCATATGAAGAGAATATCAGTTCTTTTGATAATATTATTGGGAGATGATAATGTTGAAGAAAGTTGTGTTTCTAGATTTAAAAAGAAGATTTCTTATATGAAGAGACTATAAGAAGAACATCTTTGTTCTAAGATTTACAAAGCTCAATTTATGCGAAGAGTAGTGATACGTGTATCACTAATTTAGGTTCATTTGTTGGGACATTACTACAGTTTTTAGAACTCATTTTGAGTAATTTAGAACACAAACTTCATAAGAAGAAAGTCATATCATTACCACTACTCTGGATGCTCTTTCTGGCAAATGCATATATTGAAATAATTTAAAAAAAAATTAAAAGCTGATTTTATGAGAAGTCAAAAAATGACACACAACTTGACAAACATATCATGCATTGTCAAAACCAAAATGAAATCATGAAATGCATTCACTCCATAAAAATTAGGAATAATTTTCAGAAATAAAATGAACATGAATACAAGCAAATGTTGGCTTACTTTTGAGATGTCCGATTCTCCAAATAGTTTTTATTAATTGACTCGCGAAAGGTTGAAGACAATCATAATATTTTATGGAGCATCACAAGAACATGCAAGTTGCACTCGAAGCCATTTATTTGTTGAGTTATTTACAAGATTAAATGGTTGAAAACAGAAGTAAGGAACATATGTGCAAAAGTGCTAGAGCTACAACTATATTGAGCAAAGTGATAAAATGAGTTGAAGTGAGGAAGAAATTTATTCAATCAGAAATGAGAACGTAAAAATATTTGATAACATTGGGAACACCAACTGCAATCAACAATGAATTATTGTTGTGATAATGCTAACAATATGTACTTAGTAGAAATTTTGCAATGATAAATGAAAATCTCATTTAATTTTATTTTAAACTTGACAAAGTCAAGGTTCCAATGTCTATCATGCTCAAACTCATGAACTGGTCTCATTATCTATTTAACATAACCTCTGTTAATAATCGCAGGTATAATCCTTGTGGTAAACACTATTTTTCTTGATTCTTGGGTAGAGGTAAGGAGAGATTAGGTTGCAATCTTTGGTTAGAAATAGGTATCGATAAAGTATCAATCAACAAATTTTGGAAAAATATTTGTTATTTGGAGTAGATAATTACTGTAGAAGTTGAAAATATCACTCATGAGAAGTTAAAAAGATCCAATTGAAGCAATTATTTTTTCTAACAGAGGTCTTGAAGAGATGGAAAAAATATCAAAATTATCTTAAGGAGACTTTAAATGCTAAAAAATATACACACTTTGTGAAAATTGAAAAAAAAATCATTAAAATAATTTAAAAATTCTATTACATTGAAGAATATACAAAATCTAAGGCTAAATTATATACCGTCGAGTTTTTATAAAAAATTCTGGGATTGCATAAGCTCAAGGTGAGCATGTACATTTTGTAATAAAGTAGGTAAAACATCCACCTCAAAAAGAAGCAAGTCAAGGCTAGCACTAGGAGGATCCACATTCATCACTTTTTCTAGCACTAGAGTTGATCTATTAAGGATTGCATTGGGTGGAGTAGATCTATCATGAAGAGATGTATTGGACTTATGGTCATATGTTCCAATCTAAGAACAATGACTTGGTCTTGCAACATCTAGGTGTGTCTACAAACTAGAACTAGCTTTGTCAAAATCCTAAAAAAATTTCTTCACATCCTGCAAGAGGTACTTGTAATCCGCTAAAGATTTTTTTTCCTTGGAGAGAGGAGGGATAATGTCTAAAATCATTTCTTTTCCTTCTTGGTTTGGTTCATCAAATTCATTGGTAATTTTATCTTTGGGTGGTTCCAACTACTCATTTTCCATTTCAAAGTTTGGTGTCATGTACATATATATATCACATCATAACATACATTGCTGTCATCTCAAACATCACAATCCATAGATAGTCATACTTCAATACAAGTGCACCACAATAAATTTTTTCTACTTTTCTCTCATAACCATAGCATAAAAGAGAGATTATAGTTGAACCAAATTCACTTTAATCTTCAAAGAGTCATGATTTCTGTATTATCCATCATAGCCACATTCTCAAAGTCTCAACTTCAAAAGTTGCATTTCAAGGATCCCTAATTCAAACTCTAGCCCTTGAGCCCTAGATTTCCTACCAGCCATGTCAATCCTAACAGCAAGTCTAGTGCAAACTTTACTAACTACACTATCAACTCTAACTAACGTATTTGCTATTAACTACATTGTGATCTCCATATTGGCTCTCAAATTTATCTCTGATAGTTTTTTGGAAGCTCATCATGAATCTAGAAGTATATATTCCAATCTGATGATCATAGCACTAATTTATCCTCTTATACAATTTTGAAATTCTGAACTCCATAATATCATGACAACTCTCACAAAGACTCAAATATCACTAAAAAAGAAGAGATCCTATATTGATGATAAAAGGCTTGATGAAAAAGTGCCCCAACCCCAAACAATACTTTCCAAAACTAGTCTTCTCAGAGCAATACTTCCCACCCTGAACAAGGCTTCTCAAAACCAAGCTTGAGAGATGGTTCTCAACATCTCTATTTATACTATTAAGAATTATACCGTAGTAATTACAACTAATTACCATGTAACTTTCTCTTACCAAGTTAAATCAAGATAGAAATCACAAATCCCAATGAGTAAAGGTACATGACAACATGCAATTGGTATACTTGAAATTTTTAGAAATCTAACTATACTCTAATTGATTTTGATGTATTAAGTCAATCTTGTCTCTAAATTTAGATATACTCATCAAGTCAAACTAATGAAATATTAATCCAAATCAAGAAAAGTCAATACACCCATGTGATGAAATCTGACATTTGATTCCCATTTAACAACAAAATAATTGTTCTCATCTTCTACATAAAGAACTATCTTATATTTTTCTTTAATTTAACCTTAACTAGCTAAACATAATCATGACTAAGATAAACTTAGTCAAACTTTAGATATACTCATATTTTATTATATATGTACAACCATGGATCTTACATTTACCTCATGAGTAAGATTTAAATCCGTCCTTGTAGTGAAAAAATCGGAGAGCCGATGAAACATCTTCAAGTTGTCATGATTCACTATAATGGTATGTCGTCCTCCCAACTCTTTCAAATCGTAAGTTTAGTTTTCCCACACTTTGTGAACTATGAAAGGACTAAAGTGTTTTAAACAAACTTCTTTCTAACCCTTTTTTATCTCATGAAGTCGTAAAGCATTACCCAATCACCTTCTTTGAAAGCCTTAGTATTCTTTGTTCCAATTTGATTATCATGATACTTCTTTTATAATGTTAAGCCCGCTCCACACATACCATGGCTAAAGCTTAGGCCTCCTCCAGCTACAACACTTGTTGAAGTCTTGATTTGATAGCTTTTGGTTCATTCATACTCTTTAACTTACCTTGGATAGTTAAAAAGGTTTTCAAATCAAATTGAATTGGAAGTAAAAAGGCCTAGATATGAACTGTAGTAAATGAATGTAACCTGGCGTTTTTCTTCGGCTCTACCCTTCAAAAGTGCACTCTTGTCTCTTAAGTATTGGCCTTAAGAAAGTGATAATAAGAGCACGAGTTAAATAAAAGCAAATTTTAAATTTAGTGTTTGAGCTATAGTAGTTGCCAAGCCGACCTAGCTCAGTGGTAGAGCGCGTGGCTTTTAACCACGTGGTCGTGGGTTCGATCCCCACGGTCGGCGCCGGGGCCGATATCTACAAGTAGTGGTCACACTTCTCGTGACAAGAATGGTTGAGAGTGGTGATGTCGTGACACCATGACGACCTGAGCGCAATCATGCTTTTGTTAACTTACACTAAATGAACTTTCCGAGATAGTGTCTACAATTAGGTACTTTAATGCAAGTCTTGAATGTTGAATTGTAATGCATCAATTCCGAAGTCTATTAATTCAGATAAGGGCATGTTATGGGAACGAAGTTACTCCAGAAATAGTGTCCTCGCTGGTCGTAAACAGCTTCAGGTTACGCTATCATGGTGAGACAGTGCAGACTAGGATGGTTCACGCATTTCATGAAAGACCTTTCTGCAGTGCATGGTTCGATCTCAGAAACCATTGAATAACGGGTCACAACCACCTGATCCACTGTATTATTCCTAATCTTTACATGCCAAACCCTAAACCTCTGTTACAATAGTGGGTACACTGCTTATCCCCTTTACCCACCCGATATGTAAGGTGGGAGGGCCTTGTACGGACTACTACGCAGCATATGAAATTCTTGCTTCTCAGTTACAGCATTATTCTTTGGCAACATGTTCTACCAGAAGGAAAATGTAAAATTATTTATATTTGCAAGTAAACGGCATCGCCCACGTTTTGTACGACGTTAGAATCTCCATTGCGAAGTCGAACAAACAGAACATGCGTACCAAAAAATCAATCGCCATGGAATGGCACTCTTACAAGTAGATCACATCAACTAACAGAATCTACTAACTGACTCCGAAAGTGTGTTCTCGTTTGGTTTAAAGCTGAATATTGATTTCTGGGATGGTGAGACTTCTCACCGCCGGTAATAACATTTGTGAACAGTCTCGACAACCTCTGTAAGTGCCTAATCACGGACCAATCAACATGCTCATGTGTACAGAAGTTTCTAAATGGCCCCATTTTTCTATCTGTCAATCTCTTGACGAGATCTATTGGGTCGTCTCTAATTCATGATCATCTTTGTATAGAATTCAGATCAATGGGAGTGGATCAAGTACCGACTAGTAGGACAACGTTACTGGATCTTCTATTGCGTTTTGAGTTGCATGTGTCCTTCTAGACTGTATAGTTGAAACGTACAGGCCAGTAAAATAGATCGCGACTGTACTAACAATAAAATAGACCGGACAATCCTAGAGTCGCTTATCAGCTACCATGTACTTCTCAATCGTCTTCTGATTTCCTGATCGTCTCAACCTCCGATCCTGAGATTGCAGTATCGAGTAAAGTATCCTGTTGGTGCCAAATTTTCAACAGCAAGAGATTTCCTGGTCGGGTTTCACTCACATGTCCACGATTATGCTGTAAGAAGCGGCTCGTAGATCTCTTCTACTCGGCCCTTCTCAACTGGAACCTTTGCTGTTTCTCCAACTCTGCTCTGTGCGAGATTAACCTGCGCTCATCATCATGTTAATTAAGACTTCAGTGCGAGATGATGTAATTCCAATCCCAAAAATTATCTAAGAGATTAAACAAATTTTCTTCACAGCAGGGAGCTTTTTGCTGCTTAAAGCGCTGAAAAAAGTAAGCCATATATGGTCTTTCTTCGCTACATTAGAAAATATGACTCCGACATAGACAGAAATTACGCGGTTCATTCACAAGAGAATGCAGCAAAGAGACCAAAATTTGGTTACTTTTGTGTTATTTTCCAGTATCCCATCCCACAGAATTTGTACAGTTGCAATTTTGAAGTGGAAGACAGCAAGAGTTGGTCTTAGTCTACCTGTTTGTCCCAATCGATTATCGCCACAAGAATTATTATCAACACTAACTGTGTTATGCTCCCACAAATGCATCCACCGTATAAGCCCTGTTAAGAGAAAAACAACACTGTAAACTTTCTGTACAGCTCACGAACAAGACATTTCGTTTATTTTGGTTGACAATCTTCAAGCGACGGGGGATATGCAATATCACATTTCCTCATTTTTTTTTCCACCGAAACCAACGAAACAACACATCTGTGAAATATGAAGGTTGTTTGATACCAATATCATGTCGGTCAAAAACTTCATCTGCCCAATTGCGGATCATAAAATTTCCTTTTGGCCAATTGGTGACGATAGAAAGACAGGAATAGAAACGGGCTGAATTACCATAGCGCCCCATTTATAATAAAAGCCGAAGAAGACAGCAGATGGAATTCCAACGCAGTAGAATGAGAAAATATTGATAACTGTGGCAGGATTCTGCAAACCACATCCTCTCAGAATGCCTGCAGTCCAGTCAATCCATCAGTGTGCAATGAACTTCCAATACTTTTGGACACAGACGTTTTCCTGTACACATGGAGGAAGTCGCAGTTCTGCAGATTTCGTGTTGACTTACGAAGTAAACTGTTATGACTCCGCATGTCAATTCTGACCTCCTATTACAATATTTACTTCCGGAATAAGCGGACTAAATAGATAGCATTTCACGTCTGTACTGGAAAACTCCTGTTGTCTATTTAGTATTTAATTTAAATAATTATTTTAAGTATTATACACTCAATTATAAACTTGTAGTTTTATAAATATCTCGTATCTGTTGAATAGAATTAACTTTCGAAATTCAAACGAATAATATAAAATATTTATGAAATAAAAAATGTATTATAACCATGCAACATTGTAAATACAATAATGGTTCACACAATCGTGCTTATATATTGAATCCTTATGATGTAAAGCGTTGGTGTAAGTTACGTGTGGGACTGAGCATGGAAACGTGGCAGTAGCAGTTTCCCATGACGTAATCGATATTGGGGACTTGACGTTCAGGTACGTCATCACAATGACAAAGCGCAATATCCCACCTTGAAACTTCAAAATGTAAAGGTGTTGCTAACATGCAGCCAGTACAGCATTCAGATCATGATCTTACAGACCGCTACCAATGAGAGACATTCACGTGTGTGTAGAAATTGTTCGGATCATTGCGTGGCCCGCGACGTACTTACCTCCAAGAACGCCTTGAATTCCATCCATGAAAGTACCGAGCGCCAAAAGGGGCAAGATCGCAGACACGGCCTGGATGATTTCAGCCTCGCTGCTGAATGCAAAGCCCCACTTGTTTCGCAGATGAGCATAGCCGAGGCTACGACTGTGGCTTGTAAAAGCGATATTCCCATCACCACCTTCGACGCCAGCTTTGCTCCCCTAGCATTGCCAGCTCCGAGTTCGTTGGACACCCTTGTACTGCAGACATGATCAGCGTCGATTAATATAGTCTAGAAGTCGCATGGATGGCGAATCCACTCAGGTTTCGTAGCTCACCATTTAACGACTTTGGTCACCTTAAAGGGAAGGAGAGTGACGTAGCCTTTCGGTAGCGTCTAACCTAAGACTCATGCAGACAGACACAGCTACTAGCATGAAACAAGACTACCATTAAAAAGGACACAGTAAAATAACAATAGGGATGGGACGTGGAAAGACGAAGTAAAATATCAAAAGAGATGGGAAGACCCCATCAAATCGTACAAGGAAGGAACCAAACCGGTAACATGGGGCTAGGCCCCATGGGGGCCCATAAACCGGTAACATGGGCTAGGCCCCATAGGGATGGGACTACCATTCACATTAGGACACTTGCTGGGCATGCCGAGTAACTCGGAGTCACAACAAAGATTTGAAATGACTGCCTTAGTCATTAGGTTCTATCACATGCAGTGATCAGCTGTAATTTCCAATTTAGCCCACTCGATGATTTAGGGACAGTAGATGCAGAATCCAACTCCTGAATATCATGAAACCAAAAATTGGCATGACCCTAGTAAACTAGACGGATATATGAAAGATTTCTATAGTCCTGATCTTCAGCTCTCAGGGGAATTTTGACTGCGATCTCGGACCTGGACTTTCTTCATCTGTTCAAGTAGACTTAGATCTCGTAAGTTATGCATTTGCAGAAGCATCATCAGCATCATATAGAATCCTTATATTCTAGTTGGTCCAACTCTTTGGTTCGCAAAAATTGCGATTCAAAAGTCTTTGCCGCCAGTCAAGAATGTTTAGGCCGATAGTGAGACGGCAACTCGGAAATCACTCTCCAGGTATACGATAATAACTCATTGAAACATAATTGAGAAGAAAGAAGAGAGTACCTTGATGCAGCACTAAGTCCAAAAGGAAATGAGAACTCGATACCGGCCGTGTTGAGACTGCAGAGAGAAGAGCAAAGCATGATGATTTGTGGATCCTAATTTTTCAATTTAAGTAGCGAAATACCCAAAAGTTATGAGTGCTTGATGTAATTATTTCTATGGGACTCACCAGATAGAGAGCAAGGACACTTCCATCCGAGGATTTGGCATAAGCCCCGACATCAGAACAAGTAGCTCAAACGCCCAAAATTGCAAGCTGTGCCACAGATACCGCGTGGATCAGAGACAGCATGAGCAGTTCAAAGCAAAGTCCCGCAGAAAATCCTTGAAAATCTCTGAGAGACTTTAGTGGAATAGGTCTACTAAAATCTGATCATGTGGTGTGGTGCCATCATTTGAGTGGTTTATACACCAATGGCATTCCAAAGGATCGCACAATGAGCTCCGGATAAGTATACACTCACATAATCATGAAAGCTGAAGGAATAGCAAGCTTGAGAAACAGGACGATGACGTCTAGTCTCGGTGGTATGAATCCGGTCCATGTTTTCTCTGCGCGTCTGGATTCAGAGTAAGCGACGTACACTAGAAGCTGAAGGAGCATCATCCAGTAGGAAATGGAGATAGCCAATGCTCCCCCAAGGTATCCTACGTTCAGTGTGTATATCAACAAGTATACGAGGGGAATGTGCACCACAAAGGTAGACACAGAAAAGATCATGATTGGCACCACAACGCTTTGGGACTGCAGATACTTTATGGTAGTCTGAATGAAGGCAGATGCCCAAAGAAATGGAATCATGGTCCGCATATAGACCGTTGTGTGCTTAGAAATCTGCGCTTCCTGTCCTATCAGAAGGAGCAATGGTTCCATGTTCCACCACAAGACG